CTCACAGGCTGTTTCACTGCCCAGTAATTCCAAATGTACAAAATCTGGGTTAGGGAGAGATGAGACGTAGCAAAAACATCTCCTACGAAATATTACCCTCTCTAATACTAACTCGCTTCCAGCATATTCCACAACGATGTACATAACCATCAGTTGACCTAGTATAGCTTTTTAGAGTCATAACACCATCACACGAACAACTTCTCTCCTTTCGAAGCAAGCCTAAGTCCAGGCAATACTGAAAGACACTATCCTCCTCGAATTACAAACGTAACCTTGTGAGGGCACGCACTGACATGAATCAAGCGCTATACAACATTGAACTACGTTCGTGAATCTCATTGGATAATTCGTGGTCGTTCGCTGATTGGTAGTTATTGGTGTCTAAAGTTTAACTTGGCCGGAGAATAACTTACGGCTGGTAAAACTATTTGTAATTTTTCAGCAAAGAACGTCTTACTGACTGATTTAGAGAGACGATCTTTGAGCATATCTGAAGCCTGCTCACCCTTGAATTCCAGATTCATGAATACGGTTTTTTGAGGGGAACTGAGTCAGTGACCAGTTTGGACTTCTTATCTTTCCTGTTTTTGTCAATAAATCGGTTTGGGTTACCGTTTTCTGTGAGTGTGGCTTTTAGGAAGGAAAGTCATGAGTCAGTAATCAATCTCAGATGATTGGCGGATGATGCTTTTTCATTCCCTACATTCCAACTGGAATTTACATCTTCAGTCTTTAAAGTACCCGTTAGCAGTGGTGTTGGTTTTTGAACAAAGTGAAGTTGGCAGTCCCAACTTGTTCCCAACCACCTTCCACTTTTCTCCGGTAAATATTCTATCAATAAGCCAGCAATGAATAGGAATGTGAAGTAGTTTCTTCTTTCTTTCTCCATTACAAACAACAACAGAATTTCACCGGAGATAACTTATTCTTCCAGGGTAGGAAATGACAAGTGGGTCGTTCTAGAATGACTTGGAGTAGATTGTACAAGGAGTAGATGAGAGACTATGGGCAATCGTGATGCCATCAAGAACCCATCGGTCAACAAATATTCCGGAGGAAACAGAAAATGTATTGGGCACACTCTGGGGAGACCTACGAATGACATCGTGTGTCAGGCGAGTGAGAGCTGAAATGAAAATGACGAGTGGAAAATCCAAGAGCGTAATGGAGAAAATCCTGCGAGGGGAAGATCATAGATTGTGAGCGATCCTGTGGCCAGTCAAAGAAGACAGCAGAAAACAAAACAAAGTGGAGATGTGTTGTTGAAGCCCTATGTTCTACTTGAAACCCAAGGGGAAAATAATAAATAAGACACTACAGACACCTTTTATGTCATTGAATAGAGAAGACGTTATAGTAGTGTCAAATACAAACAGTTTGAATTCATCTTATACGACTTCCATAATTCGCTAGCCAGACGGTGGAAATCAGAAATCTTAAGAAGCCTTTCTCCTTACTTTATGGTTCTTCTTTCTTTCTTTTATTTTATTCATCATAGTGATGATCAGATCACAATTCAGCACTAACCAATGAAGTTTATTAGAGTTTGTTAACTCCCACATCTCTCCCTTAGTCCTTCCTTGACTACTACTCAGAAAGGATTATGCCATGTTGCGTGAGGTATTAAAGGTTGTCAATAGGGCAGCTTGTGGGCTACTTAGTCAGCTTGTTAATACATTAGTTGACAGATACCTGAGCTCATGTGATAAATGGTCCTAATCCATAAGGTCTGACTCTCAACACCCCTCTATTCTCAACTCTGCCCGCCTTGCATTTCCTCAGATAGGTCTGGAAGTCATTATTAGACATCATATGCTCGTATAACCGAGTACAGAAACTCAGTGATATAATATTTGCCCCACCTATGTTCAGTGTGATAGAGATAGTGTCAAGTGCTAGATTTACGAAGTACTATGTTATTGGCAAAATAATCGGCTCTTTTATCCATCCCTATTTGTAATATATGGAGACAATGTTTCATTCAATTAACTTATTATCTTATTTATTAGCATTATCATCATTATTTTACACTTTCTGTACATTTTTGACTTTATTATACTCTACCATAGTGCCTAAGTTCTATATTCTCACATCGAAAGCCTTTTCGTTGGCATTCATAATTTACTGAAATCTATAGTACAGGTATTAGATCAGTGTGGTACAGGCATTCAGACAAAATATTGTGAAAGCTGCTATCCATAACACATTCCTGTTTTCTTCATATATCCTTTCCCCTCCGTATTTTCGACTTATTTGACTTCTGATATAGTTAACTTCTTGTAATCTTCGTTGTCATTATTTCTTCAATACTTGGTGCTCAATATGTTTATTGACTACCTGTACAACTTCAACCCTACTGAAATGTTGAAGTTTTCTGCTTAAATTTGCATGGACTGAATACTGTTTAAAACTCAAATATTTCATGGACAGCATCATCTTTAAAATGATAAATTAATGAAGTATTATAAAAGCCTGCAAATTCACTTGAATATTTTAAGCTACTTAAATAAAATTGAGTAGACTACTTATGTGCGGCTAATTTTAGAACAACCTTATCATGCTTGACTAATAAACGTAACTTTCCCAAATAATAATAAACATAAATAAATCATGGCGCGTTTTCAGTATTATAGTAAGATTATGCATATAGATTGTGAAATTAGTCAGAATAATAATGATTCTATCAATAACAAGATGAAAAAGTGGAGCGATCTGTGATAACAAGAATAATGAATAACAGCATGATAAACAAATCAGTGTGTTCAGATTGACGTAGTAGTCGATAAAGGCTACGAAAAATAAATGGACCAACTGAGCAATGCTAGATTGTAATGAAAGTAAATCAACTATGTCTTAATGAAGATGTGATAAGATTAATGGATGTTAAGAGAGGGATTAAAAGTATAAGTGTGGGGTGGTGTGGACATCATCGGTTCGTCAGGTCTTAGTAGGCCAGTAAAGGTGTCATAATGGCTGTATGAACATCGTCTGAATGTATAGTTTAGGCTTTTCTGTCCGAATGCCTATCACTTCAGCTATGTGTGGTAGACGAATACGAAGTCTGTTGCAAAGATTAGCTGGGATGCGATGAATCACCTTGAATGCTTTCGTTTCCTCCACTACGTGACCAAAATCAACTAAATTTGACAAAGCGGAGATATGGATGGTTTCTGTCTGTCCTCTGTCAAACCTCTATGAGATATATTCTGTAGCACATTGCCCGAGCTGTCTAGTAGTAAGCCCGCCCCCCGAACACAACAGTCTCTACAGCAGTAACAGAATAACAAATATGGGTTTGTCAGGCAAAACATTCTACTTATACTAATACCTGGAACAAACTCTCACTTGACGAGATCTGTGCTGAAACTGCCTCAGGTTTTCTATCCAAAGTTTTCATATGTTTCTTTATGTCTTCATCAAGGAATCATGAATGTATTCAAATTCCAATTGTAAGTGATCATCCGTACATATCTTTCTTGCTCTACTCGTAAGACATTCAACAACATTTCTTATATACATATATATATATATATATATATATATATATATATATATAGTGAGCACGTAACGAAAAAGAAGTGCATATATCGCCGTGTAAATATGCTTTTTCTACACACTTTTCTCCTAAGTGACTCATCTTCTCGCCTACTTAACAGAGAAAATAGAGCTTCTGATAGCGGTGAGCTAGTATTGCGCAGAATAATGTACAGTGTTTTGTCATCAGATCCAAGCCAGATAATCGAGGAAAAATGGCACAGTCATTTTTGAAGATAAAAGACGGAGCTCAAACTCATCAAATCTGTCCTCTATAGTAGAAATGCCACCCTTAATTTTTAATGGATTTTGTATATTCTGAATAAAATTGAACCTATTTTCATGTGGTTGTGTTTTCTGAGCTGGATGGCGGTTTATTTGCGAAGCTTTCATCGCCCCACCACTAGGCAACATCTTCCGTCAGAGCATACTGCAATTTGTTGAAGTGAGCTTTTAGATTTTGCCACGAGTTTGTGTGTTTTCAAACCCTCTAGGCGGTTACTTGTATTGGTCCTGATTGTTTCCTTGACCTGAAGCTTGGTCCTTTGTCTGTGAGATTTCATTCTTATCGATTGGTATATTTTATCGATGTCAATGTGTCTCTTGATTGACGATTCACTGGAATAACAGGCTGGCTTCTAAAAATTCCCTATGATTCTCGGTGTTTCTTCTGTCTAATAATTGAACGCTGGTTGTCATAGTCGAATTGATGTCCGTGGTTGTCTGTATGCAGTCAGGAGATATGAGGGAGTGGATGTCATGTCTTTTGACGACTAGCTTATGATCATGCATACGAAGAGGAAAACGACGTCTACTTTGACCAATGTAGTGATTTTTCGGTCGTCGCAACTTATTTTGTAGATGATGTTGATTTTATCTTCTTTCGTTGTTGAGTCTTTTGGTTGACACACAGCCAACTGAGTGAAGTGATTTTGTTGGTTTGTGTGTGACGTCAATTTTTTAAGGTTTGAAGAGTCTCTCAGTGACTTCTGAGACTTCCTTTATATATGGTAGGTCGATTTTCTTTTGATGAAGTTTCGTGGATATCCTTTCTTTTTCTGGAAGAAAGTCATGAGATCTTTTTTTCAATTTTCCTCAAGCCAGGAGTGTTACATTGAGTCCTGGCTCCCTTGAATAATGTCTGTATGCAACTCTCTTTGTATGTTATTCGTTTGTTTCTATTGTAATTGAGTATTTGATCTGTGTGCGTTGATTTTCTGCAAACTTGAGTTTTTAATTTCCTTGTGGTTGTTTGCTCGACTAAGACGTTCAAAAATGGGATTTCTTTCTCGAATTCCTCTCCTCTTGAGAATTCGATGTCTTCGAAATCGCCGTTTATTAAGTTGGAAGTTTTGTCCAACTCTTTTGTTTTGATTATTACAAATGTGTTAGTTATTTTTCATCTCTATCAATTCTGATTTCTGAAGCTATGATGAATTGTTTTTTTTATTTTCTGTGTACAGAATCATGAATAACTATATGCTATGGAATGTTCTAGAATCCTATGCCTGGCATTTATCCTATGAGTATTATATGCTCCACCTATCCTACTATTATTATACAGAGCATGTTATGGAGTTGGAATGCTTTTTTGTAACTCATGAATTATTCGATACTGTTCTTGGTGCTATCTACGTTGAAAAACATTCACATAATGAGACAGAAAAAGAGGTAAGTTAGCAGTTACTCTCTTACTCTCCCACCCCCTCTTTACTATATTTAACCAATTTATAAATCATTCCCATTGTCAAGTGTTGATTGGCAGGGATTTTATTGAGCTAAACTTGTCATCTGAAGGTCAAAGGTCCGATCTTGGTGGTGTGTGGTTATAGGTGTGTATTGCTGAAGAGTCACGAACAGAGACGAAGCAGCTGTCCGGTAGTCCCTAGGTTCCGATGGTTCTCTAGCTGAAGTCAGTTCTAGTTGCCTTAGTTTCATATGGGAAAGCTGTGATCAGTTGGATTCACAAACTTGAGCTTGAGGACAGACACTCACCGATGATATTGGTTGGCTGCCGTGCTATATTTGTCTGCTGACTGGGTGACGTTGCAATTTAAAGACCACTGGATCGAGTCCAAAGAACTGGACTGTATACGAACTTGCCTTGAAACCTGAAGCACTTGGGTTCAACCCCTGGTGAGGTTGGTCATGACAGCGTAATTCTAGAAAATACTGAATAAGGACAAAGTGGCTCTCCAGTACTGCCTGGATTTCAATGGTTCTTCAAGTATATTCATTTTGTGATAGTGACGAGCAATTTTTTGAGATGGATATGAAACATCTAAGATTAATTCGTGTCTGATGACGACAAATTGATAGGAACACTTTACGACTGCAAGATGAAATAAAATCGGACATTGAAAAGGTGCCTTTATTGAAGCTCAACGCTTTTATCATTTTGTAGAAAGCAAGAACAACGATTTGGGCAGAATCAGATAGTGCCATTGTTTATTTCTTCTGATTCTCATCAGCTACATACAGTCGAATGCACTTATTAAGTTCACGTACAAAACAATTTCAGCATACTTGAAAATGTGACATGACGTCAGTTGACAGGAGACTCAAAACTTAATAAACAATGCTCAGAAATTATACCTACATATCTCATACCCAGAAGAGTTCAGGTTTAAACTAAAACAAATAACTCCCGGGTACAGTTGCGAAAGAGTTACGTAATAAAGACAAGTAGGTGGACATGATGATGAGTAACTAATATATCCAGTTCAACTCAAATCACAGAAACAAGCGACAAGTAAATTCACACAATGTTAAAGGGGAAGGGAAAAGTTAAACTCAAAGATTACGTAATCAAATTAAAGTGATAGTTAAGAGATCCAATTAAAAGTTCAAAGAAAGACTGATAACTGCTTTTTTTTCTGAAAACATGCATCAGGTTTCAAACGTTTGACAGCAAAAAGGTTCGGCGAACCTGAGAAGAATTAAGTTATTTTGTCTACTGATAATTTTAAGGGATTTTATGTTGTTCACTTCATGACCTGTATCAATGAGACGCCTTGCAGTGGTACTGTTGTAAGTGCTTCTTCCATTGAGACGTAGACGTTTTGGTACTTATTCAGAAAGCTAATGGTGTGCCCATCTTTCTGTCCTCCCAATTTAACTGTTCTAGTAGACACATAAACCTAATTACTTCTTTCAACTGCACGCAGATGATGAAAGCCCAACGAAATAAACGATGGTACTGTCTTCTTCTGAACAAACCGCTGCTCATGCTTTATTCAAATTTATAATTGGGAATAAGTATACGAAGGCTACATGAAGAAAGTATGAACGGTTTAAATGATACGTATGAATACATCACTATCTTGACGTATCAACAGAGAAGGCGCATTTCGACTAAGTTTAGTCACTCAAGGGGGAATTCACAATTAATTCAACAAATAACAACTAATTCCCGGTGCATAAGAGGTAATTTATGTGGCACAATAAATCTTGGGTTCAAGTCTTACTGGGAACTTCAATACTCCCTGAGATAAGAATAGAACTTGTGCACTGTGGTAGTGTATAATTCCATTATGGGTAAAATTTATTTTAATAAAGCCTCACAATGTTGTGTTATACAGTAATATTTACTGATGACCACGTTTCGAGCACAATTTATTAATCCTCATAATCATATCAAGGCATTACTCACACAACTTGCTACTACCAATCAAATCAAAAGATAGAAAATAACGGAATTATATAAACGAAGTCAGAAAGTTGTGTGAGTAATGCCTTGATATGATTATGAGGAGCAATAAATTGTGCTCGAAATGTGGTCATCAGTAAATACATATATTACTGTATAACACAACACTGTGAGACTTTATCAAAGTAAATTCTACCCATAATGGAACATCCATCTGAGAACTTCTAAACGCAACGAGGCTATCATTTTGGATTCCAGTGCTAATGACTGAAACCAGTGTGGTGGTGTGGTCACAACACCAGAAACCATTCTTCGTGCTCTATTGTATAGCTAACCAAAACATCCTTGATTTACTCACATTCACAAAAAGGTATCGATGACACAAAAAGAACCAATTATTTGAGATAAAACCTGCGGCACTATTTCACAATAATAGGATAACAAAAAAAATAATAAAATCACCAAAACAGTGGCTTTCGGCAAGTATGCAGGCTAAATAAGTTTCTAATATAAAAAACAAGCACTGTAGAAGAAAATTAATTCACCAGAATTCACTCCAACGATGTACCTGAAAATCAAATAGAATACTCCCAACAAGGTGGGGTCAAAACTCGGTCAGAATGAATCACACACGAAAACTTTTCGCTGACATTTCAAGGTCAGAGTCACCTTGACTTACTCAAGACAAAATCACATTGTAAAACAATACATCATTGTATCGCATAAACCCAAAGAGAAACATTAAGATGACAGGTAGAACAGGGAGGAACAAAGACAAATAATAAGGATTAAGTTAACAGATGATACGCAAGTAATTAAAAATTTCGTTAGAGACTCTCATCAGCTGCAAACTGTCTTGTGGATGCGGGTCATTTTGTCGAGATTTCCAAATCCTTCAAAATATTAAGCATACAAAGGACAGAGAATCTACTACGATTTGCTGAAAACAATTGCAACCAAACATTTCAGACCAAACTTATACACACAGAAAGAGAATGTAGTCACTTTATCATTCCCTTGGTAACCATATTACTTTGATTACACTGATTAGTCATACAGACACTAGTGAACTCAGCTCACTAAGCAAGTTTTCAAATTGATGAACTTTAACCTCTGTGAGTTGCCATGTTGACGTACAAGCTAACAGTGTTTATTAGACTTTCCTGTTTTCTGTCTTCTCTCACCCTCACCACTTTTTTCATACTGTGATAGTATATAAACTGATAATGACTTAAACTAAAAAGTATTGTAATACTTATATTCCGGATACGTTCATCTTGTAATGTTTTCTCTATTACCTTTCAAACATTGACGTATGAAATGTCATTATTTATGACCATTGTAATTTCAGGTAGTTTGCAGTCAGCTGATGAGAACCTGTGAAACAGAATGATGATATCATTTTATACTCTTTCTCTATCGAAATTTATCAAGGGAACTAAATGTATGAAATTACAAATTTAGATGAAATTTTTGCAAATAAGTATGAATTTTGGTAAATGGATTGTTCAGTAGAGATTTTCCAAACTCCTATTCCGTTACAAACGTGTTAACATCAACCTGGAATTTTTATCACAGTAAATGGAATGGAATAAATTCCGGATTCTTTACTTAGCGTCTAACAGTATATATACCAGCAGGAGTCAATTATTGACTGTTAGCAGATTCTTGTGATATGAGATTCGTCTTATTGACAAGCCTACACAGTCCTTATAAAGTTGGTGTAAATCAGTGACGAATCGATAATTAACATTGATTCACATTAAATTCCCTTCTCTTATCCCTTAACAAACTCCCGTATCATATGTTGTTGTTTTTTTTAATTGGTTGTATTCAAGGTTGAAAAGATTACAAACTATTTGAGATTAAGTTTAAAAGGCCATTTAAAACAAATTCCATGGATGGATGAACAAACAAAGACGGATGTAGACGACAGAGTAAGTTAATTATTGTCAGAATTTTCCTGGATTTTTTTGTGTAAAACTATATACTACTGAATAATTAACATGCGTAGATATTTGTATCAATCATACCAACCAGTAGTGCTTGCTGGCTAAGCACTTAGAAATGACCTACACGCTGAAATGCTATTCCTCTCGTTTGGGGCTGAGGTCACCAACGGTGTACTCGATTAGACTCAGCTGAATCAGTTCAAACCATCCAGCTAGCCAGCTACTTGGGCAAATTGGCAATTTACGATCTACGCAGTTCAAGGAGGAGGTGGAGCTTAACCAATACAGTTTCCTTTGGAGACTGAAAATATTCACATAACAATGTGGTGAGAGCTGTCTGCTAGCCTAAATTGGTAGACAGCAATTTGCGTCAATGTTTTAACTTCCTAAATCTTGGTCATGAGAAAATAAACAAGAACAAAGTCTAACTCAACAACCAATCACAGCAGACTTTGCGTGGGCGGATATGATTCACAGATATATGGTCTGCCCTTCAAAGAAACGGTCACGAAGAGATGACAGAATAACTTTCAGCGAGAAAACAATCAATCAGAAGACGCTGTTTCTCTGCTAATTATTATTATTATTGTTTCCTTGGGTTCCTAGTGGAACACAGGGCTTCAACTGCACGTCTCCACTTGCTTCTGTCTTCTGCTGTACTATTCACTTGCATCCATGTTAGACCATACTGTTTCAACTCTTCTTCACACGATCTCCATGTCGCCCTTGGACGTCCCACTACTCGCCGCTTCCCTTTCGGGTTCCACTCGAGGGCCTGACGCGCGATGTCACCCAACGGCCTCCTCAGCGACTGTCCAATCCATCCATCTCCACCTTCTCCTGCATATTTGTTGAGCGATTGGTTCTTGTTTTGTTTGTTCCCATAGTTTCTTGTTGGTTCTTGTTCTTTCCGGCCATCTGATCTTGAGTATAGAATGAAAACAGCTGTTGATAAAGGTCTGCAACCTGTTGGAAATATTCTTTGTGACCCACCAAGTTTCTGATCCGTATAGCAAAACTAACTTGACGTTTGTATTGAAAATCTGAATTTTGTTGTTGATGCTTGGTTGAGTGACGAAGATTTCCAGGTGGATGAATCTGTTTCTCTCCTTCCCGATTCTCGATTTGACATCTTCGTCCGTTCCTCCTGTAGTTGAAACAGTGCTCCCTAGATAAGTGAATGAAGTAACCTCTTTGATGGTGATTGGCGCTGGATGTTGCTGCTGCTGTTGTTGTTGTTGGTTGGTTATTTTCATAACCTCCGTCTTGTCTATGCTGCTTCTTCGACCAGTTTGTCAGTTTTCGCTTCTAAGTCTTCGATTTTGTGTGACATCAAACATAAATCATCCACGCGCGAAATCCAGGTCTTCTAGGTTCTTCACGTCGGTCCAGGATATCCCTGTCTTCTCGTTTCCCACTGTCTGACACATAATGCAGTCTACCACAATTAGGAATATCATTGGTGATAATAAGCACCCTTGTCTGACTCCTGTGTTTATTCCAAAAGCCTCACTGAATTTTCCGTTGTGGATCGCTTGACATGTGCCGTTGTCGTACAGCTATTGAAAAGGGTTGATGAATATTTGGGGTACGCCGTAGTACTCGAGTAGTTTCCAAATTACTTCGCGATCAACGCATAAAAATATATAAGTATCTGTTGATTTTCTCAATAATGGATCTGTTGCCTGACCCTTGTTTTTTGTCGTTATAACAGTACCTTAATCAATGGTAATCAAAGGAGCAAGAATAGAGCTGCTTACCGCTGACTGATTGGAAAGTAACCATATGATCTAATTAAATGGCTCCACGCCTTATAAGCTCTCCTCTACCCCTCACATCATCTCCTCCATGTCACTTTTGGAGCGATCCACAACTTCTCATTTCTTATCCATGTTCCACTCGAGAGATGATTTGGTGAGCCATCTCAGTCAACTGTCTCCTTAGAGCGTGTCCGACCCATCTCTGTTTTCTTAGAATATTCGTTCAGCAACTGGAAGATATGCAAGCGAAAAGCAACAAGTTGGCAGAAGAAGCATCAAAGATAGGACTTCCTTCAGGTGAACATAGAGAAAACAAAGGTGATGAAGATTCCTGGGTAACACCACCAACAGCAACAATAACAACAGACAACAATCAGCACAAATGGAAGGAACCTGAAAGAAACAACCTCTTTTGCCTACCCTACGTGGGAAGCGTCGTTTTAACTACAGGCGGAATTGACGAGGATATCAAAGCAAGAATCGGAAAAGCAAGACAAGCTTTGACTACTCTCAAGTCTGTGTGGAGGTCAACAGCACTCAGCATCAAAAATAAGATCCGGATTTTCAACTCCAACGTGAAGTCAGTGCTACTTACCATATGGATCAGAGACTTGGCCAGCGCGTCATAAAGAGCATCTCAAACAAACTACAGACCTTCATTAACAGTTGTCTTCGCTCAATACTCAAGATCAGATGGCCGACCAGAAAAGATCAGCAACAGGGATCTCTGGGAGCGAACCAACCAGGAACCGATTGTGAAACAAATAGGCAGGAAAAAATTGAGATGGATTGGCCGTACTGTGAGGAAACCAGCAAGTGACATGACTAGACAAGCCAGTGCTCGAGTGGAACCCGAAAGGGAAGCGACGAGTTGGTCGTCAGTGCAAGGGTGACTTGGAGTCGGTCATGTGAAGAGGAGATGAAAACGTGTGGGCAGACTTGAAGCCAGGTGAAGACTCTAGCAGAGAACCGAACGCAATGGAGACGCACTGCTGAAGCCCTATGTTCCTCTAGGAATTAAAGGATACAATATAATAATAATAATAACCGATTCTTGGTTAGTTTGTTCATTGCTACAGTTCTTAGTAGCTAATCCTTACTAATCATCTGATTTTCATTATGGCGCCAGCAAAGGCCGCTCTTTTTTGATAAAAGTTTGCAGTAGCCTGTTGGAAACGCTTTTCGAGACCCTCCAACTCTCTGACTCATATAAAGGAAGCGATTGATCCTCTTTTGAAAAAAAAAAGAATTTTATTTCAGCCGTTTTATTTTGCGACAAGCTACATAACTCTATAATAAGCCGTACCGAAACAATTTACCCCAACTAAACGTAACTTTGGGCATCGGTGGTTAAGACTTAGAATCCTTGTTAACCACTCTGAAAAAGAGGTTTCAGGTTCGATCTCTGGCCAGTGCACACTCTTAAGCTCCACCTGCCCTGTACTAGGCCCTGCAAAGAGTGAAGTTTAAGTGTGAGGCTATCAACTGCAGCTCATCGAGAAATACCACTGCTATTTAAACTTCACAGCACACAGCTAGAAGGTTCATATTCCTCTTGGAAAGCAAAGGAATAAAATCAATAAAATAAAATAAAAGCGTGACTTCCTGCAGCAAAACGATTGCGTAACTTATTGTAACTTACTAACTCCGTTATTCAAGTATTGGTTGGTAGGGATTTGGTTGATTGGTTACAGGATTTCATCATGAGCAGACATTGATTAGAGAACCACTGGAAAACCTTGGAGTACTGGACAACTGTTTCGTTCTTGTTTGAGACTCTTCAGCAGTACGAATCCAGCGGAGTTCGAACCCAGGATCTTCTGGCTACAAAGTCAGCTCGTAGACCAGAAGGTCCTAGGTTTGAACCCCGGTGTGTTCGTACTCCTGAAGAGTCCCAAACTAGGACGAAACAGTTATTCAGTACTCCAAGGTTTTCTCATGGTTCTCTAGCAAATGTCAGCTCATGATCAAACCATGTTACTAACTCTGTATTGGTGAACAGAATAATTTCCACCTAAACTAGTTTATGTGATTTCTTTGATTACCTGTAAGTTGTGTCTGTTAATTTCGCTTTTTTTTTCTCGTTTATTTTAAGATAAATAAAATGAAAATTCTATTCAAAGTACCTGAAATTATGCGTAATGACAAAAAGTTGAATTATGCATACAGAACGGTGAGTTTTCAATCTGTAATTTATTGATTAATTCATCTAGGAATACCTCTTTCTATAGTTTACATGTTCTCAAATTTATTGAAAAAAAATGATGTTTAAGGAATTGATAGAGATGAGCAATAACTGACACATTTGTAATAATCAAAATAAACGAGTTGGATAAAACTCACAACTTAATAAACTGCAATTTCGACGACATCAAATTCTCAAGAGGAGAGGAATCCGAGAAAAAAATCCCATTTTTGGACGTCTTAGTCGAGCAAACTACCACAAGGAAATTAAAAACTCAAGTTTGCAGAAAATCAACGCACACAGATCAAATACTCAATTACAACAGCAACAAACCAATAACACACAAAGAGAGTTGCATACGAAGATTATTCAGGGGAGCCAGGACTCAATGTAGCACTCCTGGCTTGAGGAAAATTGAAGAAAAAGATCTTATGACTTTCTTCCAGAAAAAGAAAGGATATCCACGAAACTTCATCCAAATAAAATCTCAGAAATCACTGAGGGACTCTTCAAACCTTTAGGAATTTATGTCACACACAAACCAACAAAATCACTTCACTCAGTTGGCTCTGTGTCAACCAAAAGACTCAACAACGAAAGAAGATAAAACCAACATCAAATACAAAATAAGTTGCAACGACTGTAAAAAACACTACATTGGTCAAAGTAGACGTCGCCTTCATCTGCGTGTCCATGAACATAAACTAGCCGTCAAGAGACATGACATCCACTCCCTCATATCGCCTCACTGCATACAGACAACCACGGACATCAATTTGACTGGGACAATGAACGTTCAAATACTATACAGAGGAAACACCGAGAATGCTAGAGAATTTTTAGAAGCCACCCTGGTATCCAAGTGAATCATAAATCAATAGACACATCGAAATAGACAAAACATAACAATCGATAAGAAGGAAACCTCACACACAAAGGGTCAAACTCCAAGTCAAGGAAACAATCAGTTCCCATACGAACAAAAGTAGCCTAGAGGGTGTGCAAAAACACACAAACTCATTTTTTTCCTTCACGTTCCCCAGTGGAACATAGGGCTTCAAGCTAGTGGCTTGAAGTTTCTGTAGCAGTGTTTAAATTTTACAGGATGGAGTTGCTAGCCTCATGCCCAACCTTTTTTCTTCACCAGTATTATTTCTGGCTTAGCGAGGTAAAGGAGTGCGTTGGCCGGGGATCGAACCCCGGACCATGTGCATGGTCGGCGAGCGTCCTAACCGCTATGCCACAAACGAAAACTCATATTGAAATCTAAAAGCTACTTAAGAAAGACTTTGCTTCGCTGCGTAGGGCACTAAAAGCTGTTAGTAGGGCAAGTGGGATTTCGTCAAACCAACTGGTTAACACCGTTGTGGATAGACATATAATGTCATGTAAGAAACTAGCGAATTCTATATTGTCAGACCCCGAACACTCTCTCTATACGCAGCTCTCTCCTTGCATTTCATCTGGTAGAACTAGAAGCAACTATAGGAAGCTATATGCCAGGACTACCAAGTATAAAAACTCCACAATACCTTATCTGGCACAGCTGTTATGTGATGAGAAAACTATTAGGCATGACACGATCACCTTAATGCGGCACTCTAACAAATAGTTCCCATTAGCTTTTGTTCTCCTTTCTTTGTTACTATTATATTGTTGCTCATATATTCTATTACAGACTAATTTTATATATCATATCCTGTGCTGTATTGTTTAAATATGTGAATGCAATACTGTTCTTTTTTTATTTCTTCTATTTCTCTTTTTTTTTCTTTTGTTGCTGTTGCTTTTTATTTTTAAAATCTTATAAAATTTATGAGGTAATTAGATGCAATATTGTAATGCACGCTGAAAATTCCATACCTGTACCACAAATACTGTTTGGAATAAAGCCATTATTATTATTAACTTCAATTTAAATTGAAGCATGCGCTGACTGAAGATGTTGCCTAGTGGTGGGGCAATGAAAGCTTCGTAAATAAACCGCCATCCAGCTCAGAGAACACAGCCACATCAAAAATACAGCAGAAGATTTCCAGACTGATTTCACAGTGACGAATATCCTTCTCGCCTTTTTACGATTCTGGCTTCGATATCTCCATTCATTCACCCTGTAGGTAAACGGACGCCCCCTAGACAAGTATAGGAAGCATTTTTTATTCCTTCACGTTTCCCAGTGGTACATAGGGCTTCAAGCTAGAGGCTTGAAGTTTCTGTAGCAGTGTTTATTTTTACAGGATTTGGTTGCTAGCCTCATGCCCAACCTTTCCTCTATACCAGTCTTACTACTGGCTTAGCGAGGTAAAGGAGTGCGTTGGCCGGGGATCGAACCCTGGACCATGAACATGGTCGGCGAGCGTCCTAACCGCTATGCCACCGATGCATAGGAAGTATACTTAATAATATTTCAGTTTGTTGTTATCCAAACTTTCAGATGCTTTATTTTTCAAAACAATTACTCAAAAAATCTTACTACAAGCTATTAAGGCTTTCACCACGTGAGTAGTCACTTGCCCCCCATGATGCTTACTGAAAGCTGCATACACAGAGTAACAGTGCTGTATATCCTATTGTATGGAAAAGAAAAGTCATCAAAAGCCCTGGAACCTTCGAATCAAACTTTGTGTTCATTGAAACCTCTTATAGACAATGTGTTACTGGAAACTCAAAGAAAGCATTTTATTTGAAACTACTTAAAGAATTCTTGAGTCACTTAGTACCGGTCCAAGTGGCTAGATCGTAGAGAAGCTTATCTTGTAACTCAAAATTCCAGAGTTCTATCTCTCTTTGAATTGTGAATGTGTGCTCATGAAGAGTCCTAAAAGCATAAGATGAAAGAGCCATCTAGGGATCTCTGGTGTTAAAGAACTGCCCAATCGATATTGGGAGCCTGTTTCACTGTGTGATATACCTATATACGCATAATTCTCAACAAGGCAGGAATAAAAACGGCATTCAAACCAAACTCAATTAGAAACAAGCTTTCTCGGCTAAAGGATCCTGTAGAGCCTTTAAAACAATCTAATACCCTGCCTGCAATGATTGTCAGGTCAAATACACAGGTCAAACTAGTAGAACAGGGGCAGTCAGACTAGCTGAACATAAAAACTTAGCAAAATCTAGATTGGTTGACCCGAATAAGATAAGAAATCTAGAGAACAGTTCAGCCATAGCACTACATGCAGTCACACACAACCACACAATAGGATGGGATAGGATGACAGTTTTAAAATCTAATGTCACAGGGTATAGGGAGAGATTGATAACAGAAGCTTTGTTTATCGAATCAACTGCAAATACGTGTAATATGAATGATTCATCACCTGTCCCCGATATCTGGAAAATTCTACTACCCCTACGACAAATAGGAGAAAACAAAGAAAGCTATAAAACTCAAGTGTCAAAGTCGTGTGATTATAATTGATGAAATGATTATGAACAATAAATTTTGTTCGAAACGTCATCCAGTAAATAATACTGTTTCACTGTGTGATATACCTAATAAACAAATTAATATGGAATTACTTACTACCACAGTGCCCAAGTTTTACACATATGTTAAGTGTTTTGACTAATAAGATTTTCATCAGCCACAGCGATGATTATAATGATAACAAATATAATGATAATAAGAAGTTTATGCAGGCGGTGGTAAGAATGACGAAGGTAGTAATATGTGTATATGTAGACAATTCAATGAATAAACTAAGTCAAGTTTATGTGTAAAACTTGGGCACTGTGGTTGTAAGTAATTCCATATTAGTTTGTTTATTAGATGTATCACACAGTGAAACAGCAGTATTATTTACTGGATGACGTTTCGAACAAAATTCATTGTTCATATTCACATCAATTATAATCACACGACTTTGAAGCTTGAGTTTTATAGTTTTCTATGTCCTCTCCTATTTGTCGTCGTTGGGGTAGTAGAATTTTTCAGATATCCGACTGGACAGGTGTTGAATCATTCCTATTACACGTATTTGCAGTTGATTCGATAAACAAAGCTTCTGTTATCAATCTCTCCCTACACCCTGTGACATTAGATTTTAAAACTGTCATCTTATCCCATCCATCCTATTGTATGGTTGTGTGTAATTGCATGTAGTGCTATAGCTGAACTATTCTCTAGATTTCTTATCTTATTCGGGTCAACTAATTTAGATTTTGCTGCTAGGTTTTTATGCTCCGCTAGTCTCACTGACTGCCCCTGTTCTACTACTTTGACCTATGTATTTGACCTGACAATCATTGAAGGCATGGTATTAGATAAACTAAATTGTTTTGTTTTAAAGGCTCCACAGGATTGATCCTTTAACCGACAAAGCATGTTTCTAATTGAGTTTGTGGTTGGTTTGAATGCCAGTCACTTTTATTCCTGCCTTGTTAGGTCAAGTCTTGAAAGTTACATAATACTAAAGGTGAAGTGGACAGATAATCAGAGTTGAAATAAACATTATAAAAGTACGAAGGAAATGGAAAACAAGAAAGGCTGGGAGGGTTTTTATTAGACCTTACCTAAGCCAAGGGAGAACTAAAGGAAGAACAAACTTCTTTTGTGTACAAAGACACTAGGATCGTCCTCTCGAATTCCCATAGCTTCGGCCATCTCTAAAAGGCAAGTTCTAATTCCGTTCAAAAGATTCGATGGAATGCGACAGACAATTTTAAAGGTACTTCTTCTCTCCACTTCATGACCTCTATCATCGACCAAATGAGACAAAAAAGAACTTCTCATCGATTTTACTTGACCTTTTCCAGACTTTTCAAGACTATCTATTTTAATCAATTAAACTATTCAACTGGTGGGTGGTGACTAGCAGTGGAATCCACGACAACGCGAATTTCGTCCTATTTGGGACTCGCCACCTGCATGTACCTACATTTTCCAGTGAGTGATGATGTTCCCACCACCGAGGGTCGAACCCAGTGCCCATAGTTTCAGAAGCCAAGGCGTTATCCACTAGACCACTTGGGCCACGAGAGCCATCTCTTGTGCAACGGGTCATATTAGTTATTCGATTGAATTTTAGATTTTCCCGTCGATTGATTGAACCGAAGTGCTTGGTCTCAGGTTGACATGTGGGCTTCTTATGCACATGCTTCGACGATGTCTGGGCATGTAATTAGAATTTAATTGGTGGATTTTGATTAGCAGTGGAATCCAGAACAACGTGCATTTCGTCCTATATGGGGCTTTTCAGCTGGATTGTGGCTCTCGTGTCCCAAGTGGTCTAGTAGATAACGCTTTGGCGTTTGAAACTATGGGCACTAGGTTCGAGCCTTGGTGTTGGGAACATCATCACTCACTGGGGAATGCAGGTACATCCACTAGCCGACCAGTCCCAAATAGGACGAAATGCACGTTGTCCTGGATTCCACTGCTAGTCACCATCCACCAGTTAAATTCTAATTGCATGCCCAGACATCCTCGAAGCATTTGCATAAGAAGCCGAGCACTTCGGTCTAATCAGTTGACGGCCATTGACGCACTCCTTTACCTCGCTAAGCCAGTAATAAATCTGTTTAAGAGGAAAGGTTGGGCATGAGGCTAGCAACCCCATCCCGTAAAAATAAATGCCACAGCTATGGAAACTTCAGAGTTCTAGCTTGAAGCTTTCCACTGGGAAGGCAAAAGAATAGAAAAAAGTACATATTACCTTTTTTCATTAAATCTATAATCATTCTAAACTATTTGTATGTGTAACTCTTCTGTTTATCCCTTTTTCAGCTTAAAACTTCCTACAATTATCTAAATAATTTATTCTCAGCAGTTCAATACATTCGTGGAGTTTATAATCGTTTATTATCTGGTGTTACTGAAACAAGTGAAGAGAATTGGAGTTCCAGAGATATTATGGCCTATGATACACATGTTGCCTTACATTTACAACTCGATGAAGTATTCGTTCCACCTGGAATGCTTCAACTGCCTATTTATCATCATAATTTACCAGCAGCGTTTAATTTTGGTGGAATGGGAAGTTTAATTGGTACAGCTATTGGTATATTAGTTGGAGAATATGGTAAGTGATGAATAACATCGGATGGCATGCTTAGATTGAATTAGACTACTGTTCGACTATCTACAGAGTCTAATGAATCGAATTTGAGTGTTGGTTTGTAGGGATTTGATTGATTGGTTACAGGATTTCATCATGAGATGATATTGGTTAGAGAACCAGTGGAAAACCTGGGAGTACTGGACAGCTGTTTCGTCCTAGTGGCTTAATGGTCTACGAGCTAGCCTTGTAACCAGAAGGTCCTGGGTTCGAGCCCTAGTAGTGGGTGCGTACTGCTAAAGAGTCCCAAACTGGGCTGACAAAATAGCTGTCCAGTACTCCCAGGTTTGCCAATGGTTTTCTTACTCACTTGTGTATTTCGAGATAGATTTCTCCATAACTAACTAAAACATCCTTGTGACAAGCACCGTCACCAGATCCCCGCCGTCCCCACAACGACAGAAAGATTGTGGTTATTTGCGATGAAATCTGTGGTACTATATTTAACAATAATAACATAACAAGAACTCAAAATCACCTCAACAGTGCCGTTAAGCAGCTATACAGATCAGAAACTTTCCCAATGAAAAATAAGAACTGTAGAACAAAAGTATTTAACTAACATTCAGTCATGCTAAGTACCTCAGAATCAAATACAAAGATTCCCAACAGGATAGGATCAAAAACTCTGTCAGTAAGAACTGCACACCAAACAATTCTCGTAGACTGTCGAAGGTCAGAATCACCTAGACTCTTTCAAAAGAAATCACCCAACCACAAATAGAAACATTAAAATTAGAGATTACACAGGAACAAAGATAAATAATTAATAATTAAGCCACAAGGGTGATATGCAAATGTCAGAATATTGATACATAGTCAAGAAGAATGGGAGATATTAATCACAAAACTAGTTGAAACATCCAAATGAGTGTAAATATTGTAATAAGATTGTTGAGGGGGGGAATCTTCAAACATTTATTCCGTTACGTGGAGTATATTTCAAAACAATAGAAATACCTTCGACTGATAAACTTGAAGATTTTGCTCAGAATGGAGCTATTAATTATTATTGTCATTATTATTAGCGATCGTATCATCTAGATGATCTATCGTTCGTATCCCATAAATTTGAGCATTTTTAAGTTCTTGAACAAAGCTGACTTCTATTATTATTATTCTCTTGAGCTCCGAGTGGAATATAGGGCTTCAACAACACATCTCCACTTTGTTCTGTTTTCTGCCGTCCTCTTCAGATAGGTCCACGGTTGACCAAACTCTCTCATCTCTTCTTCACACAACCACTTCCATGTCACACTAGGACGACCCGCTCGTCGCTCCCCATTCCAATTCCGCTCTAGGACCTGGCGAGCGATATCATTCGACGGTTTCCTCAATGTATGCCCAATCCATCTCCACTTTCTCGTATATATATGTTGAGTGATCGGCTCTTCGTTGGTTGGTTTGTTCCTAGCCAGAGTTTCTTGTTGCTTTTTCTTTCTGGCCGGCCATTTGATCTTCGGTCTAGAGCCAGCAAAGGTGGCATCTATTTTAAATCCTTTTCGTGACACGCAGTGCAAGTTTCTGACCCATATAGAAGGACTGACTTGACATTGGTGTTGAAAATCCGAATCTTGTTCCTTATGCTGACGTGCAGTGCAGAAGATTTCCAAACTGGTTTCAGGTTGATGAAGGCCTGTGTATCTTGCCTTTCGGATTCTAACTGGCTTTGACATCTTCAGCCTTTCCGTGTGTAGTTGGAACGATGCTTTCTGGGTAGATAAGTGAAGGAGGGAACTCTGTTAAATCTCTCCCGTTGATGGTGATTAGTGCTGGTTGATGTTGCTGTTGATTGGTTATCTTCAATGATATCTTGATATCAATGATTATGACATCAACTAAAACCTGTATGTTCAAATATCAAGAGAATGTTGTCATTGTACCATTGAATTCTTCATTATATTGTGAACAGTAAAAACGATTAAACCAAAAAAACAAAGAAATGCAGAATTACAAATTAGAATAAAAATCATAAAAGTGAAGTAAGGCAGTTAGTTAGTTGCTTCACTTTTGAACATGTATACACATAGTGACACAAACATCCAACTTGCCTAGAACTATCAACACTGCTATGCGCGTAAACAACGAACATATGCAGCCGTGTGTATATCATGACGAAAACCCTGCGGGAGTTACTCACGAGGGTAAGCAATAACATTTGAGATCATATTTTAATAGACAGAGGTTTGTTTCAGGTAGGCCACCGTGAAGATAATAGTAATAAAGTGATAAATAATTGTGGGCCGGTGGCAAAGCAATAAAATCCTCGCCAACCACGTAGGTGGTCCGGGGTTCGATCCTTGGCCACCGACGCACTCCTTTACCTCGCCAAACCAGTAATAAGACTGTTAAAGAGGGAAGGCTGAACTGGGCATGAGGCTATCAACCCCATCCCGTAAAACTAAACACCACTGCCATCGAAACTTCAAGCCTGTAGCTTGAAATCGCCCAATGTTCGAAATATCTTTATTATTATATCCTTTAATTCCTAGAGGAACATAGGGCTTCAGCCATGCGTCTCCACTGCGTTCGGTTCTCTGCTAGAGTCTTCACCTGGCTCCATGTCTGCCCACACGTTTTCATCTCCTCTTCACATGACCTCCTCCAAGTCACCCTTGCACTGACGACCAACTCGCGCTTCCCTTTCGGGTTCCACTCGAGCAATGGCTTGTCTAGTGATGTCACTTGCTGGTTTCCTCAGAATGTGGCCAATCCATCTCCATTTCCTTCTGCCTATTTGTTTCACAATCGGTTCCTGCTGGGTTGGTTCGCTCATTGCCAGAGATCTCTGTTGCTGATCGTTTCTGGCCGGCCATCTGATCTTGAGTATTGAGCGAAGACAACTGTTAATGAAGGTCTGTAGTTTGTTTGAGATGCTCTTTATGACGCTCAGTGCAAGTCTCTGATCCGTATAGTAGCACTGACTTCACATTGGAGTTGAAAATCCGCATCTTATTTTTCATGCTAAGTGTTGTTGACCTCCACACAGACTTGAGAGTAGTGAAAGCTTGTCTTGCTTTTCCGACTCTTGCTTTGATATCCTCGTCAGTTCCGCCTGTAGTTGAAACGATGCTTCCCAGGTAAGTAAAGGAGGTTGTTTCTTTCAGGTTCCTCCCATTTATGCTGATTGTTGTCTGTGGTTGTTGTTGCTGTTGGTGGTGTTGCCCAGGAATCTTCATCACCTCTGTTTTCTCTATGTTCACCTGAAGTCCCATCTTTGATGCTTCTTCTGCCAACTTGTTGCTTTTCGCTTGCATATCTTCCAGTTTGTGGGAAATCAGACATATATCATCGGCGAAGTCCAGATCCTCCAAGTTGTTTTTTGTGTGAGTCCATTTTATGCCTGTTTCCACATTGCCCGCTGTTTGTCGCGTTATCCAGTCTACTGCAATCAGGAAAATCATTATCTTTAAAACTCTTCTAAATAATAATCAATAATTCTCTACATAATTTGGTTTTAAAGGGGCATTTATGCGTAAAAATGGAGAAATTCAAGCAGTCTGGTCATCTGATACAATTCGTATGTATAAAGAACAGAAAAAGTGTGTTCATGATCAAATTTATAATGCATCGAAATATTATTTTAATTTCTCTGATTTGGTAAGCATAATTTATATTTTTGTTTATATTTATTGTGTATTTTTAAGCAAAAGAAGTCCGTATATGATTTGATTACTGGTAGCTGACTGTATAAACGGCTGAGTTAATTGATGAGGTTATGAAACTATACTGTAGGCTGATCCAATACTCTCCTCCTCCATCGTCTAACAATTGGGTTGAAAAAGAGGTAGGGTCAGTCAAATAAAAATATTTAAAACAAGTAACAATTTTGAAAGAAAAAGGTAGCATTTAATGAATTCATAAATTTTGGTAGAATGACTTGTCAGCTGAACACTCTTTTCAAAACTCTGACCACAAGGATCATGCACCTACGATTTGCCCCGGACAGTTCAAGGTTAGAATTGATTCTACTCACACAAACAAAATCACATTGTGAAACAACACATGCTGACCACTAAAATTACATATTAAAGGAGGAGAGAGTCAAATGATTATTGATTAAGTCAAAAGGTGATATACAGATGTCAGAAGAATTAAATACAGTCTAGGAGTTTGGAGAATCCAATTAAGTATGATTATTGTAACTGGATCTTCGACGGGGGGGAGTTTCCAAACAATTTTTTCGCTACTGTGATTCTTCGGGGTTTGTATATACAATATTGATTGATAACAGAGGTCAGAGGTGATGAAGACAAACTAAAGTGTATGAAGAATAACAATATTTAAAAAATTGATTATCAATCTGATGCTCACTTGTAACTGGCTCTATTCAGGTAGGTAGTTACCACCTGGGTTCCAGTGGGAAGTCGTGACCACTGGGGCACAGAACTTCAGGCTTGAGGACAAATACTCGCACCATAAAATAAATTGACAGAAGTTAGAATTCATGGATGATTGGATTGGATCCCAGTGGCTTAAAAGTCTACTAGCTAGCCTGGGTTCGCACCGATGAAGAGTCCCAAACTAGGACGAAACAGCTGCATTCTGATTCTGGTTTTCCAATAGTCCTCTAACCAATGTCATTTCATGATGAAATCCTGAAACCTATCAAATCCCTGCAAACCAACACTTGAATTATTTAAGCGATAAACAGTCATTTGGAAATAATTGAGGGGACAAGAGAGCATAAAGGATTGAAAATAAGTTGCGAAAATATTTTAAGAACTTTGACTAGTTGATCACTGATTGATATCAGTTAATGCACCATTGAAAATAAGCAGGGAGTACTGGACAGCTGTTTCAACCTAGTTTGGGAATCGTTGGCAGTACGCACCCACCACCGAGGTTCGAACCCAGGACCTCCCTAATACAAGGCAAGCTCGTATACCATTCAGCCATTGGGACCCGATTCAATGGCCAGTCCATGGATTCAAACTTCTGCCAATTCGTGATTTAGCGCGAACCCAACCAATGTCGTCGATGGGACATTCATCCCCACAATTGACTAGTTGGACCTCATTGGTCACGACTTTTCACTAGAACTCCAGGAAACTCCATCCTGTAGTAAGTCACTAGTGAGCATCAGATTAATTTTCAAGAGTTGGTTTGTAAGGATTAGATTAAAATGAATACATGAGGTTTATTGTGCGAAAATTTATGAAAATACAATTGACACATAGGTCCTGGTAGTAAAAGAGGCTGGATAAAACGTTTCTTAAGGGAAAGTTCTTGTTTTTCCCCTATGGACTGCTAAAGTTTCAGCTGCATAAAGAAGTATTGGGTGAAATCTTCTTGAATGGCTCTATTTCTGAGCACTTAGTGAACTCAAGCAACTCGACATCACCAGAGTCCTCTCTTAAAACACTGTGTATGACAGAGGCGCTAGTGATTTGTTAACATCACCCAAAATCTTTGAGTGTAGAAAACGTTTGTTGAGTCTCATAGTCTGTCATAGTCTTAAACTGCCGTCTACTTGTGTGTGGATGTGAATTTGCCAGGACCTTGTCATATGTATTCAAAATTACTTAAGATTCTGAATGGCTGGGGGGAAGAACTTTATCACGACATATTCCAAAGCGCTTTACATCCTCTAATCCCACATTATTTGGTAACAAAACAGCAGCAGCAATAACCATGCAGATGTTATTGTGAAAAAACGAAGGAAGGTTGAACCAGAACCCCACTCCAGAAAATCAATCCATTCCCTACACAACCTTCAAACCACAGAGGAAACTATGAATCTCACTCCCTAGAGTGAAATTGAGAATACTTCTTAGGGGAGGGAAATAAAATACTGTTAGCAGTCGCGGAACCAGATGAAAAAGCTGTCGAGGCAGAGTGTGAAAGACAAGCTGTCGCATTAGGCCATATCAAAATGCATATATCAGTTCACTTGCTCTTGCAGAGCTGAGTACATTTGTAACGACAGAAGACAAGGGCCAGTCAACAGATTGTTTATTGAGAAAATCAACAGATATTTAAAGATTTTCATGTACATTATTATTAGCATTATTGTAAGCAGAGAGGCAACGTCTTCTGATTGGTTGTTTTCTTGCTGAAGGTTATTCTGTCATCTCTTTGTGGCTGTTTCTTAGAAAGTTCAGCCATATATCTGCGAATAGTATTTACACTCGCTAAGTCTGCTGTGATTGGTTGATGAGTTCCTCAAGGTTAAGCTTTGTTATTGATTTTCTCATGATCCTGATTCGGGATGTAACATTGACGTAAATTGTTGTCTACAGTTTTCGGCTTGTAGCCAGCTCTCACCACACATTGACACTGTCGTGCGTCCATCAGTAAAATGGCCTCGAGAACACTCACTAGCCTGAAAATTCCTTCAGAGTCAAACATCTTAGAGGGAGTGTGATGAAGACATCTTGGCATAGCTGAGGCACAAGTGATCCAAAAGTTCAAACTTCTTGTTCATCTCTGTTATTTTTAAGTTTTTTAATCCTTACTTGGGACGTTCAAGGGTGACATGGAGGAGATCGTGTGATGAAGAGTTGAAACAGTATGGACTAACATGGATGCAAGTGAAAAGTACAGCAGAAGACAGAAGCAAGTGGAGGCGTGCAGTTGAAGCCCTATGTTCCACTAGGAACCCAAGGGAACAATAATAATAATATAATAACTTGTACAACTATGATTTTTATCTGAACTCCCTGTCTATATTGTTACTAACACGTTTTGAATCTCTATTTGTTATCTTGTAAATTTGACCCTCAACCGGAACAGTTCTGGAACTTTCTCAATCATGTACTATATACACACGAATGTAAAGTTACCCAATTGCTGACCTCATCGATAAGAAAATATTCTTCACTGTGACCGTCATTTTGATTTTTCCTGTGAGCTAAAAGGAGACTATAGAGAACACAGTGAAAACGTTCCACTAGGAACCCAAGGGAATAGTATTTTTAAACCTCTACATCAAATGCCCACATAATATAAAATCATCAGAAGCAGAGGGATATTTAAAAACGGAAAGATCCATAACTTCTTTTAAACAACCTCAAAAGTATTTCGAATTTGTTCATTTCAAATATTTGCTTAAATTTTCTTATTTTCTCTCTCTCTCTCTCTCTGTCTAACAGATGATGGCGACAATCGAAGATGATATAAAGAGAGTAACCCGCGCAACTATACACGAAGCAACTGGGCTAGATATAGCTAGATATGTAAGTAACTTTTGATAAATAGGATTACTGATATTAGATAGTTGGAAGCTGTTGGTAGGATGCCTTTCTTGACCTAATTTGTGTGTTAGTTGACCACTCAGCAGTCAGTCAGTCAGCAAGGCGTATCTGCAACCCTGGAGGAACACATGTCCCTCCTTCAGAGAGATTCGAATCCGCGTGACCAAATGTATGCTGCAGTCAGAGATTTTACCACTGAGGTATCTGGGCTCGCTATTGGCTGCCTGTAGGACTGACTGTATCGGATATTTTTGATTGGACACTAGTCAGTAACTAGTGTAATGTGTCTAGTCATATCTTTGGTGCAGACTGAATTCTATCAGTCAAGTCTGCAATGTAGCCACCATGCTAGGTGGCCCAGGCTTCCTGCCAACTGCCTCCAACCATCTAACACCAACAATTCACAGTGCACCATGATGGCGAGCCACCTAGTATGGTAGCCACATTGCAAGCTTGACTGAAAGGACTTGATACATTACACTAGTTACTGACTAGTGTTCAATCAAAAATAAATCATGTCGTTTCAGTTCATATCTGTGATAAATTGAAGAGAAACAGAAGCGATCAATAGAATAGTTGCTTGCTTAAACCACTGGACCAGGCAAATTTCTGTCCAGCTTAATGCATCTACTTTTCTGAGTATCTTGTTGTAGCAGTGTTATTCTTGCAACTATGTGCTTCGATTGTAATATGAACTCAAGCAAATTTTTAGTTGCAAAACAACCGATTCCTGTGCACTTTTCATTTGCTTCAAGTCTGATCACCGACTGATATCAGTTAAAGAACCATTGGAGAATCTGGGAGTATTGGACAGCTGGTGGATGTGTCCTATTGAAGAATCCCAAACTAGGGCGAAACAGCTATCCAGTACTCCCAGGTTTCCCATTGGTTTTTTAACTGATATCAGCCCGTGATCAATCCTGTAATCAATCAAATCCCTACAAACCAAAACTTGATAATTAATCTGATGCTCACTAGCGACTGGTCCTATACAGGATGTTATCTGGAGTTTTAATGAGAAGTCGTTAGTAGCAGGATCCAACAGAAGGACAGTTACAGGCCTGTGACATTGGCTGGTGGCTGCACTATAAATATATATCAGGAATTCGCAGAAATTGGAATTCATGGGCCGGTCATTGGTTCGGGTCCCGTTGGCTGAATGGTCTGCTAGCTCACCGGGTGTCCTGCCGATGAGTCTCAAACTGGGACGAAACAGCCTTCCAGTACTCCCTGGTGGTTTTCAGTAGTTCTGTAACTGATTTCAATTCGTGATCAAACTTGAAACTGGTTGTTTGCTTTATAAAAAATTCTTCACAAAATTTATTAATCTCAGATGGAGGGAGGGCTGTAGAAATCATAAGACAGGTAAGCAATTAAAACATCAGACAACAAGGTGATAATTATGCTAGGACAACATTGCGAAACGAAATTATGTTGAATTAAATTACTGAAGGTGACAAGTAAGCTAATACAGGAAATTATTGAATGTGAAATTTATAATAAATGGGTAGGAAAGTTCCAGAATCATTTCTGGTCAAGGGTCATATCAATAGAATTACAATTAGGAATTAAAATACCATAGCAAACAGGGGGACGGATAAAGCTCAGACAAAGTAGCATCATAATTACTGAGAAGACTGACACTGATTGTGCAATTAGGGTTTAGAAATGTAGAAATAACAACAATAGACAGGATGTTTGGATAAAAAATCTAGTGGGATCATAACTGATTTGACGAATAATTTTTTATGCAATCAGGGATTAAATATGTAGAAATAATAAAATGACAAAATAAACAGGAAGTTCGGATATGAAAATATGGTAGTGTAAATAGGAATTAAGAAAAACTTAAAAATAACATGAATAAACAGGAAGTTTGGATAAGAAAGTCAATGGGATAGTCACTATTAGAGGAATTACCTGTTTATGATGGCCATGGCAGGCAGGGACAAGGGTTGGACGTATTTCTTTTGGATACATAGCGTGGGTTTGAGCTTTTGGATGGCTAGTGCCTCGGCTATGCCCAGATGTCCTAATTTTACTCCCTTTGATAGGTTTGATTGAATCTTGTATATTATTTTGAAGGATTTTTCGAATGGCGCTGAATTGACCAGATGTTCTGTCACTGAACTATATACACGTTTTCGTTCTCTTTTGACTAGCCAGGCTGGATAGTGTTCACGAGCACGTGAAGTGAAATTAATAATAACAATAGACATTTGATAAGGGAAGGACACTCAAAGTGAATAAACAAAACGGCAGATTACTTTTCATTTTATAGATAGCTTCAAAGGAGGGGGCACAGTGGTTAGGACTCTCGCCGACCATGCACATGCTCAGCGGTTCGATCCCCTGCCGACGCACACCTGATATCAATGGTCGGCCTGAAAAATTTGGGCTAACTATATCCCATGCTGAAACTTCCATACTTGTACCGAAAATACGGTGTGGAATCAAGCTGTAATCAAAAATAAAAAAATAAAAATATCGACCAGATGTTCAATTATGGCGCTTCTTATAATCCGGCTTATATTTCCTCGTAACCAGCCAGAATAGTGTCCTTGTAGAACAACCGACATACCTAACTTCACAAGAGTAGATGAATTGATAAACCCACACTGAATTGGTCAGCTGTAGGATCCTGTCTTTCAGGCTGTTGAACAATAGTGATCGACTGGGAAACGCTATTCTCAACTATGCTGCTGTGAATTTCCTTTCTCAGGGACTGTGAGATCCTTCTTTCAAAGATGTCGGCAGCTAAGTCACCTTTGAATTCAAGGTTCATGTACAGTATTTCCTTGGTTACCGACATTAAAACCATATTTCGTTGGTTCTAACTCTATGTGGGGTAAATGCATTTTCCACCATTTTAGAAGACTGAACTCTTCCTCCACAACATCAGGACTACATATGCACCGAATGCGATTAGCAAGTGATCGAATCAGGTTACATTTTCAACGAAATTCGTAAGCGGACCATTCCATAGCAGCTTTCTATAAACTGAGCTCATGAGAGCTCCATTTTTCCTCTTTGATAACTTCACATCGACGGAATGAGTGTTAGACTCATTCTTCATTGTACAGCTTGAGGATAAATTCGTTGAAAAGAGACACTCTTACTGAATCACTTGTTTTGATTTAGACACAAAAGAATAAACACCTATCCTGAATATTTCAAGCTTGATTTCTGAAGCTTCATTGGCAGTGCTTTTATTTCGCTGAGTGAGGCTGTTAGCCTCACATTCAACCTTCTCTCCTCACTAGGCTAACTACCGGCTTAGAGAACTTTCAGAGTATGTCGACCGGGGATCAAACCCCGAATCACTTACGGCGGGGTTGACGAGCATTCTACCGCTGGAACACTGACGCAAGCGTAGTGCAACGGACGTTTCAATGAAGTTTCTTTCAATAAAATGTTAATTGTATCATAAAACAGATTGTAATTAGATCTTCATACCAACAAAAGAGTTGATACTTCTGTGCTAATTTATTTTTTGTAAATCTTTCTTCTTTTTTAGGCTTTTGAAGACTGGATCAGGGATTCACCCGATGAGAAATATTTACGTCATTTACCCGGTGTCACATTCAATCCAAAACAGTTATTTTATTTAACATACGCACAAGTAAGAGATGCTATATGCTTTTACAACTAATCACGGCGAATAATTTTTTGTATTCATTCTTCCTACTTATGAGTAGTGTGGTGGCAAGTAACTGTACATTTTTAAACTGTTTAATGAAATATCGAGAATTGTTAGAAGTTAGAATTGCATTGAATTGCATCCCAATGTCGGATTGGTATACGAGCCCATCTTGTAACCTGAAAATCCCGGGTCCGACTCCCAGTAGGTCTAAGCGGTGTGTACTGATGAAGAATCCCGAACAGGGATGAATTAGATGTCAAGTACTCCGTGTTGGTTTTCAGCGGTTCTCAGACTGAAGTTACTTAGTGATGAGGCATGAAAAAAGAACTTGAGGCTGCGAAATGAAAGCAACTTCCAGTTATTCAACCATTCAATCTGACTGTTATATTAGGTTGTTTGTGGAAAATGTAAATTTATTTAAGACAATCTACTTCAACCCGTTGCCCCACCACTAGGCAACATCTTCAGCGCATACTTCAATTTGAATTGAAGTGAGCTTTTAGATTTCCCCACGAGTTTATTGGTCATGTCTCCTGGTGGCTGACCTTGAACGTCGTGATTGGTGGTTTCTGTGTGTGTTCCCACACCCTCTAGGCTACTTGTATTCGTATTGGCGCTGATTGTTTCCTTGATTTGAACTTTGACCTTTTGCGTTCGAAGTCTCTACTTTATCAGTTGGTGGCGCAGCGGTTATGATTCCCGCCAACCATGCATATGGTCCGGGGTCCGATCTCCTACCGATGCACGCCTGACATCTATGGTCAGCCTGCGAATTCGGGCTACCGATATCACATGCTGAAAATTCCATACCTGTACCGAAAAATACGGTGTGGAATCAAGCTGTAATCAAAAAAATAATAAAATGTTTTGTCTATTTCGATGTGTCTATTGATTGACAATTCACTGGAATCCCAGGCTTCTAAAAATTCTCTAGCATTATTGATGTTTCCTCTGTCTAATATTTGAAAGTTGGTTGTCCCAGTCGAATCGATATCCGTGGTTGACTGGGACAACTGGGACAACGTTCTTCGTCTTGTTTTCTTGTCTCCTATGTTTTGCTGCAATGCAATGGCCCATTTCCTCTCGTTTACCTCAATTCATTCCATCTATCCGCTATCTGATATTTTTCTGCAGATGAGCGTCTCTTTATATACTACTGATGAGTCTTGTTAGTAGCACAAGTCACAATATCACAGCACTGATAAGCGCTGACTTCTAAATTAAGGGCCAAGGAGAGAAGTGATAGAATAAGCTGATTAGTTCATTTATTTCGGATATTAATTAGCTGTTAGCGGACATTTTACTGACGACGTGAACGTCTCCTTTGCATTTACCGATTTGGGTTATCTTTTAGGCGCTGTAGAGAGATATCAGGCTATCTATCTATCTATCGGAAATGCTGTACTCTTCACTAGTTTACTTTGTTCTACTTTATCGTCATGACAACATGTAGAGATTTCAACTAATTGATCAGGTGTTTCATCATTTCTTTTGGAAAACAGTAAAGGGATTTAGATCTTGGAAGTAGAATTTTAAGCATGGAGGGTAAGTGAATTGATGAAGTTGTAATATTTCATTAGTTAAGATGTCTGCGGAACCATCGTACTCCTCAATTATCAATATCGCCTGAGAAGAATGACGCTAATCTATACAGTGATTGGCTTTTGTTTTTAACTGAAGACCAGTGAGCACCGGAAAGCTGTTCCCTCCTATTTTAAAATTGTTTAGCAATACACACCCATGATCTCACCATCAAGGATGAAATACGGAAACTTCAGGTTATGAAACCAAGATCTCTAACCGTTTAGCCACTTGGGATGGGATTCGACGACTCTTGAATTCTAGCTCTGTCAACTCGTGTTGAAGTGCTACCCTCAACAATGCCTTTGACAAGTACCCACTTCAGCATGACGTGGTGGACCGTACGAGTCATTAATTCCCACTGCAGCTCCAAGAAATCCATCAAGTAGCTGTCAGTGAGCTGGTGATTGACGTTTGGGATGCTGGCAGTTAATGTTTCAGGCCGAAATAATTGCGTCCACCTAGTTATGCTTGTCATTCAACTCACTAATGAAGCATTTTCGTCCATCCATTCAACTGAAACGACTGATTTATTCAAGCTATCCAAATTCTGCTCAGATAGCTAAACAATCCCGCATGGTATTAGGTGGCTTGAGGTATTTACGCTGCAAGCCCTAAGTTTCGTGTTTATAAGAATGTCCCAGGAAAGCGAATCTGCCACGGCAGAAGGGTTAAAGTCTCTACCAGGATTCGAACCCTAATCACCCAGTACTGTGAGTCAGAGGTGTTACAACTGAGCTATTGGCTGCAAGAATAAACAAAAGATTAATCAAAGCGCATATAAGATCGTTTTCATCGTGGTTATTTATTTTCTTTCAGACATTCTGTCATAGCATGGATATCTGGGATGAATATTACCAACTGATGGCGACAACACCGCAACCGCCATATGAAGTACTGTGAGTGATAGTTTATATTGTATGAAATAAGAAATATATTTGTAATGTTATTTTTTTTAAAGTGATGCGATCACTCTCATGTCTAGCTGACGAGTCCCAAGTGGGACGAAACGTGCACTCTTTGGACACCATTAACAAAATAACCTGAATGCTGAAAATTATTCGATGGAACAATTTATTACAAAGGGGTCTTATCATGGATTAACATCCATATTTTTGTTATTATTACTCACTTTTATTCTGTGTGGAATATATGGCTTCGACAGCACATCTCCATTTTGTACTGTCCTCTGCAGGCCTCTTCATCTGACCTATCGATGACCCACAAGCTTTCATCTCCCATACCCAACTCATCAACTCCCATTCGCGCTTCACTCGAGAGATAGTTAGGCGTGTGATGTCACCCGACGGTCTCCTCCTCAGTGTTTGTCCGATCTATATCAATTTTCTTCAGAATATTTGTTGAGCACTGGGTTCTTGATTGGTTCATTTCCAGACCTTCTTGTTGCTAATTCTATCTGACCATCTGATGTTCAGTATTGAGCGAACTAAGGCAGCTCTTGATAAACGTCTTCAGAAGCCTATTGGCAATGATTTTCAAAACGCTCCAGTCAAGTTTCTGACCCATAGAAAAGAAGAACCGAAATAACATTGGGCAAAGTTAAACTTTAAGCACCACTAACTACCAATCAGCAAACGACCTTCAACGGACCAATCACATGAAAGAGGGATTTTTGATAAAGGAAAACGTATATTTATGGAAAAAAAGCATAAAAACTGCATAAAACTGTTACATAGGATATCTTTCTCTAACATGTGAGAGAAACATCTCCCAGTTTAGCATAAGACTGTCAATAGAAAAGTCACACCACCTTCTGTACATATATTCATCCAAATGACTATAAGTGAGATCCTTTTGAGATCCATTTATAGCCCTAATCCTATTTTTCAATCTTCCCCAAAATCCTTCTATATAATTTGTGTGTGTCCCTGTAATGGGATCCACAAAATCACTGGAATGGTCCACTCTGTGATGAATATATCCAAGAGATGACAGCGAGTTATAACCTTTCCATTCATCCGTATGTACTATTGATCCCTGTTTCACAAGTCTAGTAATAATAGGTATTAAAGTAGTTGCCTTTCTATCTGGTGTTCTCTCCACGAATCCTTTCCGTAGGCAGGTGTCATATAAACCATTCACCAAAACATTGTTGGCTCACTCACGACCACGGTTGTATTTTTTCTTCAGTAACACAGTTTCGTCCACGTGCACGACGATGCCTTCTCCACCCAACAACGAAGTAATTCTCTCCATTTTCCATGATGCAATGTCTCTGCAGTTCTGGTGCCACTGAACTGTTGGTTTCATCAGTTTCAGCACCTCATACAGGCTGTTTTGAAACCCAATAAATACAAGTATACGAAATCTGGGTTAGGGAGAGATGCAACCTAGCGAAAAAAGTTCCTACGAAATATTAAAATTACCATCTTACCTTCTGTAACCCTAACTCATCTCAAACAAATTGCACAACGATGCACATATCCATCAATTGACCTGCTGAAGCTTCTAGAACTCATCACACCACCACATGAAAAAGTCCTCTCCTTTCTGAGCAACCCCAAATCCAGGTAATACTGCAAAACATTATCCTCCTCGAACTGCAAGCGTAACTTTGTTAGAGCATGCATTTGAAACTAATCAAGCGCTATGCAACATTGAACTCACGTTCACGAATCTCATTGGACTATTTGACGTCATTCGCTGATTGGTAGTTAGTGGTGCTTAAAGTTTAACTTGGCCTAACATTGGTGTTGAAAATCCGAATCTTGTTCTTTATGCTGACTGAGTGCAGAAGATTTCCAAACTGATTCCAGAGTGATGAAGGTTTGTCTTGGCTTTCCGATTCTGGCTTTGACATCCTCATCCGTGTTTCCTACAGTTAAAACAATGCTGCCTGATGAGATAAGTGAAACGAGTGACCTCTTTCGAATTTCTCCCGTTGACAGTGATTGGTGTATATTGTTGTTGTTGCTGTTGGTCGGCTAGTCATCTTCATCACCTCCATCTTCTCTGTATTCACTGACTGCTTCTTCTGTCAGTTTATTGGTTTTTTTCAACCTGTAAATTTTCGAATTTATACATTCTACATTCCCATGGTTATTTTTGCTTTCATTGAAAGAAGACTCACATCAGCTGACTGGCTTCCCGAAGGCTTTCACCATCCTGTATCATTCTGTCTCTCTGGTTCCAGTGAAGAATAAGTCTGTTTTTTTCTCGTGCTTTGGAGTTTCTTTAGCAAGTGGATTGATTTTCCGGTGTAGAATCGCTTGACGCACTTCCGATCTTCCCTCCTTCCCCGAGCTTACAACCGCCTAGAAAACTAACGAGTGAGGTTACTTTTAATACAGGGTTCCGAATACAACATCAGGCTTTAGGCCTTGGGAGTTTATTTCACAAGGTGAGGTCCCTTGACTGATGCCCAACCTTCCCTCTTTTCCCGAGTTTACTACCAGCTTGTAATCTAGGCGAGTTTCAGGCGTGCATCAACCAAGAATCAAACCCAGGCTTCCCACTAGTGAATCACCCATGTTATTTTCAAAACAGTACACCAGTTGGTTATCAAGACAACTAACTGAACACATTCACTGCACCTTTCTGCAAAATTGCAACTGCATTCACATTTGAGTGCTCCCTATCCCCGGTGAACCAGCCCAGTTTACTAAATTATATTCTCAGCAGAAATGACTTGTTTATTTGTTTATATTGATGTAATTAAACAACTATCAATATTCGATTTGCGTGCTTCAGTAGAATTCTGTGTATCAGTGGAAAAGGTTATCAAGTCATTTTGAATTGTATTTATAGACTAATGAAGTAATAAATAAAAGAATTCATTGGGCATGATAAACTTCACAATTTATAATAAATGCAATTTTCAAGAGTTATTATTATTTATTATTGTTCCTTTGGGTTTCTAGTGGAACATAGGGGTTCAACTGCACGTCTCCACTTGCTTCTGTCTTCTGCTGTACTTTTCATCTGCATCCATGTTAATCCATACTGTTTCAGCTCCTCTTCACACGATCTCCTCCACGTCACCCTTGGACGTCCCACTCGTCGCTTCCCTTTCGAGGTTCTACTCAAGCAATGGCCTGACGCGCGATGTCACCCAGCGGCCTCCTCAGCGAGTTTCCAATTCATCTCCACTTTCTCCTGCATATTTGTTGAGCGATTGGTTCTTGTTTCGTTTGTTCCCATAGTTTCTTGTTTGTGATTCTTTCCGGCCATCTGATCTTCAGTATAGAACAAAGACAGCTGTTGATAAAGGTCTGCAACAGGCTGTTGGAAATGTTCTTTGTGACCTGCCAAGTTTCTGATCCGTATAGAAGAACTGACTTGACGTTTGTATTGAAAATCCGAATTTTGTTGTTGATGCTGAGTGACGAAGATTTCCACACTGGTTTCAGGTTGATGAATGTGTTTCTCGCCTTCCCGATTCTCGATTTGACATCCTCGTCCGTTCCTCCTGTGGTTGAGATAATGCTCTCTAGATAAGTGACATAGAGTCTCACAGTGTTATACAGTAATATTACTGTATAACACTGTGAGACTCTATCAAAATAAAAATTTACCCATAATGGAAACAAAATTAAGTCATCAAAATCAACAAAGTTGTATGCACAGCTCCGGTTTTTCTATGTGAATGGCTGGAGCTTCAGCGGTACAAAGAAGACGAAACCGTATTGCCTTTGATAGCTTATTCTTGACTCTATAGATTAGTTTGAGGAAGGCGTTTGTTGAGATGGAATGATCAGTGTTAACCAGGTGTTCAGTTATCGCACTCCTTATTGCGCCACTATTGTCTTTTCGTAACCATGTTGGATATTGTTCTTGCATCCTTTCGGACAGGTTGCACGTCGAACGACCGATGTAGCTAGCTAGCTTCACAGCAGTAGTTGAACTGATATGTGCACATGGAAGTGGTCAGATGCGGGATCGCGTCCTTAAGGCTTTTGTAGGTCAACGGGCGACTGGAGAACACTAATCTTAGCGTTACTGCAAAGAATGTTCTAAGAGATGATGTGATCCTTCTCTTGAGAATATCGCTTGCTAAATCTACCTTGAAATCCAAGTTCATGTAGACTTTCTTTTTAGGCCCAAGTGAAGTTTCGTTTCTCCAAATTCTTGTTTTGATATTTTTTCAAAGAATCTTATTGGGTATCCATTTTGGATGAAGATTTCTCTCAAAATATCTAATTCTGTTTCAAGAACATCGGAACTATTAATGCGTCGGATGCGGGTGACAAGTGATTTAATTAAATTCCGCTTTTTTGAATAGGTACTCAGCTATAGAAGCTTGTTAGTTGACCATTCCAAGTAGCTTTTCTATGAATCGATCTTCTTAGGCTTCCATCAGTTCTTCTTGTTAGTCCCACATCAAGAAACAGAATTTTTTTATTGGTTTTCCATTTCAAGAGTAAATTTTATTGCTGGATGGCAACAGTTAAATGTCTTCAGCAGTAGATTGGGGTCATTGTTGTTGTCACAAATAATGAATACGTCATCTACGTATTCTTTATACAGTCGTAAATTGTCAATGCTCGGCTTTAGTCGACCTTTCTCGAGGCTTGCCACGAAGCAATCTGATAGTAGTGGACCCAACGGAGATCCCATTGCATTTAAACTCCAACTTCTCAAAGTCATTTTCAATTGAACGACTTTTATTATTGTTAATATTCTTTCTGTAATTTTTCATACATTTCTTTGTACAGAGTAAATCATATCATGAATGAACTGCCTGATTTTGCCACAACATTCAACTGTCCAGTCGGCACTCCAATGAATCCTAAACAACGTTGTCGTGCAGCCTTATAAAAAAGTGATACCATTCCCCGGTATTCTTTTGCCTATTTTTAAACTGTTTTTTCCTCTTAAAGCAAACATTGGAAACATTGAATCCCGTTTTTGTTTGTTTGGTTGTTTTAAAACTGTATCATCCGCCAATGCACAAGGTCATCAAACAAACACATAACCATATATATAAACACGCATGTCATTGAATCATTTTTAACAAATATTAAAACTATCAAAATAAAAATTATGTAATGTGTACTTCAATATGCGTATGTATACCTCATTAAAAATCAAAACCGAAGTTCATAGATGATTTAAAATTTGATTGTTATTAAACATACTACTTATATTTTTTGTTTATATATTACCTTCGCCGGCCCTCTCAACCCTCCCACCTTCTTGTATTCATCAATTTCATAACTATTTTCCAATATAAACAGTATTCTGTCATGCTTTGTTCCTCTTTTTTCGCATATTTTACGTTATATATAACAAGGAGGATGGAGGCGGGGAATATATGTCCAAACTCAATGCATTTTTCATTATTATTATTATTGTTTCCTTTAATTCCTAGAGGAACAAAGGGCTTTAGCCGTGCGTATCCATTGCGTCCTGTTCTCTGGTAGAGTCTTCACCTGGCTCCATGTCTGCCCACACGTTTTCATCTCCTCTTCACATGACCTCCTCCATGTCCCCCACCCTCGCACTGACGACCAACTCGCCGCCTCCCTTTCGGGTTCCAGTCGAGCAATGGCTTGTTTAGTGATGTCACTTGATGGTTTCCTCAGAGTACGGCCAATCCATCTCAATTTTCCCTGCCTATTTGAATCACAATCGGTTCCTGGTTGGTTCGCTCCCAGAGATCCCTGTTGCTCATCTTTTCTGGCCATCTGATCTTGAATGGTATTGAGCGAAGACAACTGTTAATGAAGGTCTGTAGTTTGTTTGAGATGCTCTTTATGACGCGCTGGCCAAGTCTCTGATCCGTATAGTAACACTGACTTCACATTGGAGTTGAAAATCCGGATCTTCGTTTTGATGCTGAGTGCTATTGACCTCCACACAGACTTGAGAGTAGTGAAAGCTGGTCTTGCTTTGATATCCTCGTCAGTTCCACCTGTAGTTGAAACGATGCTTCCCAGGTAGGTAAATGAGTTTGTTTCTTTCAGGTTCCTCCCATTTATGCTGATTGTTGTTGTTGCTGGTGGTGGTGTTGGCCAGGAGTCTTCATCACCTCTGTTTTCTCTATGTTCACCTGAAGTCCTATATTTGATGCTTCTTCTGCCAACTTGTTGCTTTTCGCTTGCATATCTTCCAGTTTGTGGGAAATCAAACATATATCATCGGCGAAGTCCAGATCCTCCAAGTTCTTTGTGTGAGTCCATTTTATGCCTGTTTCCTCATTGCCCGATGTTTTTCGCATTATTCAGTCTACTGCAATCAGGAAAATCATTGGCGATAGTAGGCAGCCAGCTGGTCTTACTCCTGTCCTCACTTCTTCGAAGGATTCAGTAAGTTTCCCGTTGTGGATTACTTGGCATGGAGCATTGTCGTACAACTGTTGGATAAGATGTATAATTGTCGGTGGCACCCCATAGCAGCGTAGTAGTTTGAGAAAAAACATTTCAGCATTGGGTATATGTGATATTCATTATTAGAAGGAGTCTTTTGGTTTTCCCATTGAATGAAAATGACAAAAAGATACTGTTGTTGTTTTTGACTGACATTTCGCTATTTAATGTTGTTAAGAGCTTCATCAAAGCGGTGATATTAAACCAGAAAATCAACACCGATATTAAATATGATCAAAAACGTGTTTGTGAAGACATTCACCTGAACAGTTACCATTCCATATAGATTAGACACGTCAAACGACAGATATCAGAAGAGTACTCCATAAACACAAAACATCATAGTGGTCTTCAAAACATCACACGCACACACATACACACACTACAAAGCAACCTTGTCCACGTAAGACCGAATTACAAAGGATTTTTTAAAATAACAATTTGCTTTATTCCAAGACAGTACTTGTGATACAGAATGGAATTCTCTGCATTTTTACTTCAGTATTGCATCCAGTTAGTACATTAACAATAAATAGAATTCTACATAGATTAAGGAAATCTCAGTTCGTTATGACAACAACATATCGGCATGTCGGTAGCAAAGCCAAAGCTGAACAGTGTTTGAAGGTGTTAGAAAAGTAGGTGCAGTCATACATACTGGCGTAAGTGGAAGAAAGAAAACAAAGCAGAACATAACGGTAAAAAGAAAATAAAGAGAGAAAAGGAAAAGAAAGAAAATGTTGTGCCTGTAAATGATTACCAGTTGGAAAGACGAGGTCCAGTTGTACTAGTGACGATATAATGAATTATAGGTGTCACGCTTAATGCGTTCTTTATCTTACAGAACACGAGCTAAGTAGGGTATGGTTGAACTTTTGTACTTGCTGGTACGAGCATATAGTTTACTATATCGGCTTGTGGTTTTGCCTGATGAGATGCAAGGGGAGAAGTGTGAGTGAAGAGGGTGGTGTGAGTTAGATAAAATGGATTTGGCCCATTTTTCATATGAGTCCATGTGCCTGTCGACCAGAATATTAACAAGCTGGTTAAGTGGCACGTTGCTTACCTTGCTGACAACCTTTAACATCCTGAGTAATATGTTATAGTCTTTCTTCAGTAGCCCGGGAAAAAATAAGGGGGAACAGTAGAGAATAATAGGCAGGATGCGAGAATTAACGAATTATAGGAGTAAGGGTTGAGTTATACCAGAATGTTTTAACTTCTTAATGTAGAAGGTAAGATGGAATATTTTCTTAGAAATCGCTAGGATATGAGACGATGAGGAGAGATCAGCAGATAGAATGACGCCTAGGTATTTAATTTCCGATTTGGTTTCTATTTCAGTGCCGTCTATGTTGCATACCTCGTGAGAGCCAACCAGTTTGTTTAGGTCAGCTTTATGCCTAAAGGTGAAATTGGCTGTTTGGCATTTGGAGGGGTTTAGAGTAAGACCGTTTTCCTTGGACCACTGGCTGATTTCTGACAGAAAGCCATTAAGTTTAGAGCAGTCACTTTGACATTTGACAGGCAAAGATACAGTCAGGTTGTCAGCATATTTGATAAAATTAATGTCATTTGAAGATTCTCAATACAGTTGTATCTATAAAAAAAATTTTTGGCTTTTATATGATGCGATACACAATGGACAAACATCCCCGAAGAGAAGTCAAAATTAGAAGAAACCGACACCGTAGAGCATCTGTTTGACCATCGATAAATCCATTCGCGAACTAGGAAAGCTTGATAAATCATCAGCTATAAGTGACCTACACACTAAAGTAGAATCAGGCCATAAAATTGATTCTGACAATGATGAAATCATAAAGAACGTCTAATATCAAAAGCCCTTCAAAGTAAATGGAATCAAAATTTTCTGAATAGGGATGATGGACTTAAGGAGATTTCAACCCCGTTCCGGCCACCTAACTTCCACCCATGAAGTGAAAGAATCAAAAGTTGATATAAGAATAAAGAGTTGGTTTGTAAGGATTAGATCTGTTTTTACGAGTTCGAACCCCATTGATTGCGTACTGCCAATGATTGCCAAACTAGGATAAAACAGCTGGCTGTCCAGTATTCCCCCCCCCCCCGATTGTTTTCAATGGTTCTCTAACTGATAGCAATCCGTGGTCAAAATCGTCAAAGCAAATTTAATCCTTACAAACCAACTCTTGAAAATTAATCTGATGCTAGTTAGTGACATGCTGCTGGACGGAGTTTCCTGGAGTTCTAGTGAGAAGTCGTGACCGGTGAGTTCTAACCAGTCAAGCGTGAGGATGGATTTCCCAACGATGACCACCGATTGGTTGGTGCTAGTCGGGGTAAATGCATCACGAACTGGTAGAAGTTAGGATTCATGCGTTGGCTATTGAATCGGGTCAGGTCCCAGTAAGTGGCTGAATGGTATACGAGCCAGCTTGCTTTGTAGCCGGAAGGTCCTGTGTTCGAACCCTGGCAGTGGTTCCCCAAAAAGCTAGGATGAATCAGCCAGCTGTTCAGTCCTCCCCCCCCCCGCTGGTTTTCAATGGTTCTCTAGATGATATCATTCCGTACGCAGTCAAACTCGTAAAAACAAATGTGATAAGCCATTTCATTATGTAAACACAACCTGTTCTAATAATTTCATACACTTGTCAAATCCAACAATCTACGTGTGGTTCTATTATCTTTAACAATTGGCCAACTTGAAAACATGGGAATCACTCCATGCTGATGAATGGTGATTAAGTTACTGCATATACAAACTGAGATTTTGTAAATTCTGGTTTAATATTACTACTTTGATATAGCTGTGCGTCGGTGGCATAGCAGTTACGACGCTCGCCGACCATGCACAGGGTCCGGGGGTCGATCCCCGGCCGGCGCACTCCTTTACCTCACTAAGCCAGAAATAATGCTGGTGAAGAGGAAAGTTTGGGCACGAGGTTAGCAACCCCATCCTGTAAAATAAACACTGCTACAGGAACTTCAAGTCACTAGCTTGAAGCCCTATGCTCCACTGGGGAACGTGAAGGAAAATAAAAATAAACAGATACAGCTGTTAGCAGCAATAAATAGCAAAACGTCAGTGAAAACAAAAATAGTATCGTTTTGTCTTTTTCATTCATTGGGAAATACAAAAAGAACTTTTATAATAATGAACAAAGGGGAAATATAAATGGGGATTACTATCAAGATAAGGAATAAAATGAAACAATATTCTGACATCTTCAACTGCTTTAGAAATTGCATCTACCCTAATGAAATGAATGTTGAAGAAATTTCAGAATGGATGAAAGAAGATTCGTCTGATATGCGCCAGCTTACGTCATTTCTGGCGTAGATATGATATCCGGCTATCGACCATAGAACGTTTGGACTACTCAGTATCTCAATCTGTTCTTCTTTATAATCGTAATATACAGCCATTGGAAGTAGCAGACATGAAGAGATCAGCTGCATTCTGACCTG